TTTAATTGGCTAATTTTTATGTGGTACAAAAATTTTTATAATAAAAAATTTTTTAAAATTTGGCCATCTTTGGTCACATAATGTTGGTTCTAGGCTACATGCACCATAGAATAAAATATATTTGAGGTTAATACAACTGAACGAGAACCAGGTATTTGGCAAGAGTACTTTACCAACTAGGCTATCAAAGCATTAACCAGAGAATCTGTATACAGATAACAAGAAACTGGTATCTCTTTCAGGCTATCTAGATTGGTAATTTAGAAAGATTAATGAGATCAGTACTGAAAAGAAAAAATACCAGATAGACTTGAAAAGGAGTACTCAAGGTTTGGGTAAACTCTATAAAGGCAAAAGTAGATTGTGTAGTAGTGATTAGGCTATAGTTAGTTAAAATATTATGAAAAAACTGGTAAGAACAAAATAGCTAAAGAATACTTCTATTATAGAAACTGGCTACAAGCAGTTGATCTCAACTTGTGTATATTAACTAAAGCCTAGATTAGCCAGATTGTAGGTAAAGAAAGCTTTAGCAAATAATGCCTTGAGAATAAATTAATCCTAAAGGCAGTGTTGTACGTTTTGACTATCCAAAAGCTTTTTTGGTACTGTCCAACATCCAAGTATCTAAGTATTCACAAGTGTTCAAAGCATATCCAAGCATTAATAATTAATAAAGTTGTTTAAAAAATATATAATTATATATTTTTTTATATGCTGAACATATTTTACTTAGAAATTGATATAGGTTATCTTAATAAAATTTTGAGTAATTTTAATTATTTAATTGTTCAAAATTGTTCAAAATGTCTAAACTTACTGTCTACAACTGTTCTGTGACAATACTGCTAAAGGTTGATACATATTTAGAACTTTTTAACTAATTATTATAATAGAAATTTCCTGATAATACAGATAAAAGTATATTACAGAGAGTTTAAATAGATAATACTAGTAGTTAGATTACAGATATGGTATCTAGTATAGAACTTAGAAATAGGTAGACTACTTAATTGCAAATCTGCCAGCCAATGAGAAAAAATGATCGATATCAAATAAGAAATTGCGATACGCATTTAATTATATAAAAATTCATGGTTGTAAATATCAAAACTGATTCTAAAAATTTAATAAACCTATGAATAATACATCTTGCAATAGTGTCTCATTACTTGCAGAAGGCTTAATATGTCCTGAACTATACTATGGGCCATATGCTTGTGATTGGTGGTCATCCTGACCAACTAATAACAAAGACGTTTCAGTTTCTATTCCATATCAACTTTATATACATGTTAGTTTTGTTCTTAACCAGTGCCAATTTTTATTAGGGTAGTTAAAAGTGAAGAAAACCAATTACAACCTGGGTTTATTTGTGTTAGTGGTAGTGAAACTAACAAAGTTTGCTTGATGCCTTCCCAAGCAGTTAACAGTGTGTATCACATGATATTTAGAAAGAAAACTGCATATTCTGAACCTGCCATTCTTGGGTTTAATGATGAGATAATTATACAAAAATTGCTAAATAAAATAAGATTTAGACCAATTTTTATTAATGTTGGAAGTTCTGTTGTTATAGTATCAGAAATCGGAAATAAAAGCTTTACATCATCTATACTAACAAAAAAAAGTCAAAGAACTCTAGCTTTACAAAAAATGATCAATAATGAATTTACTCTTGATTTTTATAAAGGGAATCAAATATTATGGCATTATAAGAATAAGTCTGCTAACAGTGTATGAGCTCACGCAGGAATTGCAATGCATTCAGATAGTACAATACTTTATAGTTTCAATTATCCCTTGGTTCAGCATGCAATTCAAGAAAATCAAGAAAATTCATCTAATTCTAATCTAACTTGTACTTTACGGGATTGGAATGATTCTTATAAAATAAATATTATATTTAACCAACAAATAAAAAATGAAGAATTGCAATTAACTCTTAATTAATTAGCAAAATTTCTTTATTATCTAAATGTGCTAAGCTAATTTCATAATTGAATTCTATAATGCGCTAAGTATAATATATCCATCTACTTACAAAATAAATGAGCTAGAATATCGTGCTTGGAGAGCCATATTATGAGCATGTGGATGCATTGATATAACACCATATCCTAATACTAATAATAAAAAAGAATTTTGAAGTCGATCAGATAACCCAACCACTGACAAAGCTAATTTAAAAATACTATATGAACTTGAATATTTGCAAACTGATTTAGAAGATTTGGAAAGTTCAGATAATATTATTACTAATCATGAGAGTGAAGATATTTTCTAGAATAGCTTTCGAAGTGCCTTGACATCTAATAAACGTGATCAAAATGGAAAAACACGAATTTTATCTATTATAGTAGAACAATTTGCATATTTACACCTTCATGAAAAACTTCAGGTTAGTTTAGAAATTAGTAATAATAATATCCTAATCCGTTGAGAATTGGCGAAAACTTTGTTTCTGCTTATTCATATATAGTCAGGGTATTATTACTTAATCCTCCTATGATCTTGATATAGTGATCGGGAGATTAGTATTATAATTACAATAAGACTTCTCTAAATTCAATTTTCCTAAATACAGCTTTTAATTTTAGCCTAAAAATATATCAAACTTATAAATTGCATTTAGGAAGGTTTGACTATGCTAACAAATTACTTACAATATTGTGACCAGGTAAATAAAAATGTAATAGATTAGGCACAAAAACATTCTCGGTTATATAGGCCTAGTGTACTACAAATTGAAGAACCAACAAAATATATCGAAAGAATATCTGAAATTAAAGAAACCTAATTTTTAGCATTTTTCCAAGATAAAAATAATGTTGCACAAAGTTTTTATAAAGTTAACGCAAAAACTGGAATTTCTATTTTATATATACAAGATCAAAAACAAACCTATAAACAAAGTTCAATGAAGAATATTCAAATAGAATGCGTCAAACTTTTTTTATGTCTAGATTAGCTGACTGTAGTCATATTTGATATCGTGAGAACTCTGTATTATCTGTAATGAATATGGGTTTGAAGTTTTTGAAAATTTGTTAGCCATCATATGACAAATATTTACAACAAAAGAAACATTGGTAAGTTATCAAAAAAG